CTTTTCATGCATAACTCCAGCTCTGCATGGTCCTAATAAAACCCCATATCTCATATGAGTTAAATGTATCAATTCATGTTTGCCAAGCATTTTGATAGTGTAGTGAAGAGCACTATAGGAAAAGAAATCCAAACCAAAAGAGAAGGAAATGGGGTTTCTGACCTCTAAGTAGAATTTGAATAAAGTGCAATAAATAAAACCTGAAGTCACACATTGAACAATGAAAATAAAATGAAACATTGAAGAGCTACTCATTAACTGAGGATTTCTTTTCTGCTCATGAAATAAAACAGTTGGCCGTAGAAAAATATATAGATGTGATTCAATATTTCAGAAGTCTATCATAATTAGTGTTATTCAAAAGATTGGCCACCTGAACAAAACAAAACAAGAAAATGGCTTGAGTTCAGTCCAAAGTCAATCTTTTGTTTATTCTCATCACCTAAATAAGTCAAGCTTAGTTAAATTTTGAAACTAGTTATTATTTTGAATTTATAGTATTTTCTTTTCAAAATGTGAAATCACATTGCTGTGTCTGCTACAAAATTTGAAAGATATTTTTCAGCTGAAGTCTTCATATGGTTTCCTTGTATACCTTGAGTTAACCTGAATTTTTCATTTTTCATATAATAAACTATTTAAGTAAGTACTGAATTCACCTGTGGTCCCAGTGGGGGTAGGGAGCCCTGTGAGGGGAAAGCTGAACAACCAGCCTGAATCCTGGGTGTTGGAGATTTAGACTCTGAAATATGAGGGATTTGGTCTTTCAACTTAGTTTTGGATGCACAATATAAATGCATCAATTCATGATAGAGGAATACTGGTTAAATGAAATGGTTTTGCAATCCAGGATGTTATATTAGATAATCAGAATCAGCCTTTTCAACTTAAAAAAATCTATTTATATTAGCATTTCAAATTTAGCCTAAGTGTCCTGCTCACTCTTAACATTATATATATAGATTATATGGTTATATAGTGAATTGTTACACTTCAAAACAACAGCAGCAGATTGAGATTAATGTAGTTTTATGGAATGAATAAAGAATGCTCTGCTAGAGGTTTTCTGCTGAAAAATTATATATGAAAATGGAAATGCTGGTCAAGTTAGCACTTGTCCTGAAAGTTCAGTTCTTTGAGTACTGAGTTTTGGTATATTAGGAGGCAAAAATGAGGAAACTGCCATTAAGATAAATGGATGGAGGAAGCTAAAGCAGAACAAAATGGGGAAAAAAGAGACACCTAGAGCAAAAGACCTTCAGAGGCAATTGGGAAAATCATATCAGTCTAGAGAGAATGTAATATTCAGCTGAAAATTTCACTCTTAACTGGAGACTGAGAATGGTAGGATATAAGGCCTGAAATACTATGAAATCAGAATAATCTGTTTTCTTTCAATACAAAGGCATTATCCTGAGGTCAGAGCTGATACTTCCCCTTTACAATGTTGGCAGAAAATACCCCAAATATGAGAACATTAAATACAAATTCAAAAATTATTTGTATTCTCATCAGAAACCAGTTAAGTCATTTATGCTTTAATCAATGACTTTGACTATTAATTCTGTGTCCTTTCCACTTCTTTCAAAGTTGAGCTTGGAGATTTTAGTATTTTTATTATATTTGGATGTTTCTTGATAAAGTCTCATGTTGTGAATAACTCAATTACATGAAGAAGGCCAATGTTGCAGATTGCAAAGTCATATTTTTTAAAAGAAAATAGATATAAACCCTCCTAAACAGAAGTACCCATCTGACTTCAATCCCTGATACCAGTCCAACAATCAATCACCAGGGGCATTGGACACCCATAATTAGATTATAAAATCATAACTATAGTAATTTTACGTCTGCTTGCATAATTACATCAGCATGCTAATATCCTTTTAATGGTCTCTAATGATGTAATAAGAAATAATGGAATTTATTTGACAGCTACATAACCATTAACAAAACATATTAAGCATAACTATAACTTCCATAAAGACTCAGGCTGTATCCAAAAGTGACAACTAACATGTTGGATCTTACTTTCAACGCTGAAATATTTCTAATTATGAATTCCCTAAATCTATTCCCACTCATCTGCTTCACAGGATGAGCAAAGTTTATGTCAATGTGAACTTGACAACAAATCAGCTGCAGAGATGGACTGAATGCTCTGCAAGACAAGCCTGGGGATATCCTGTGAACTGTCCTTAAAGCTGGCAGGACTGTGAAAGACAGAAGATAAAATAAGCTACCAAGCACCAGCTAATCAAGAGCTAACACAGGGTGTTGGATTCCTTTCCATGGCAATTGTTCACTTACCTAACTTCAAAGCACAGGGAAAAATTAAAAATATAGGCAAGAGTGAAAGATATTTGCAGACAAAACTAACTAAAGGCAGTAATTTATTAGAGAGGCAGTTCCTTTAAATTTTCTTTGTTTGTCTTTGTTTTGGTTTGGGGGGGGGGGGGGGGGGGGGGGGGGGGGTTGAGTGATTTTTTTTTTTTAGAGGAAAGGACTATAAACTGGTAGCTGAGAATTAAAAGAACTCAACACTTACCCTCTCTCTTCAGTTCTTGCACTATTCCTATTTGATGTGATGGCTTTCTATATACTCTCAAATTAACCCTGTGATTCTCTATAACATGTCATTACTCCGAAATATGTGCAATGATCTAAAACATCCAAGTCTACACCGTTACTTTCTAGCCATTGGGAATTCTTGGACAGAAAAGAGAACTGAGAATTCCAGACCAAGCAAATACTCAGGTCAGAGTTAAAGTAGGCTAGTATGACAAATTCTCACCCCTGTTATAACTCTTCTTTCTCCAGGCTGACTGATAGCTTTTTCTACATAACTTCCCAATTTTTACCCAAAAAAAAAGACTTTAAGAAAAAGGATACTTTTAGCTGCCAGTGAAATAAAATAAATTACTCACGATGCCTTAGCCCAATTAAGAAACATATTTCCTGAGAAATATTTCTTGATGTGTCAGTGGTGACTTTGACATGACATCAGGTTTTTCCTGGAACCCCTCTCCGTGAGGTCACAGAGAAGCTAACCAGAGTATTCAAATTCATACTTTTTTCCACTGATAGTGGTGCAATGGCAAGAAAACAACAAATCCAAAAAGTGTTAACTCTTTTTTTTGGCAAGGCCTTTTTCTAAAGCTTCTACTACTTCTTTATCTACTGGTCAGCTCCAACTTCCTTTAGTACTTTATGGGTTTAACCTGAGTCAAGGAATCTCATTCTCTTGAACAAAGAAAATTTATTATGGATGAATTCTTCACTGATTTGAGATTTAGGATAACCCTTCACAGACTTATAGGTTTTTAAAAAGGCAAAAACTGATAAAAACATTGTATGGATCGGATGAAGAATGCTCAGTCCTGTTTGGACTTCCTGTAATTCATACCACACTTTTAAGGTACTGACCATACAAATATTTTCAGTACATTCACCTGACTGCATATTAGTAGATGCAAAATAAGCAGCTAATTCTGCACATCAAAAGAAAGGTCCATCATGGCTGCCTATACCACTGGAAGGATATTTTTCATTAGAGAACAGGTCCACAGCCTATCAACTGCAATGTGTTGTGATTCATGAAATGATAAAAAGTAACCAAAAAGCTTTATACTAACAATTAAAAAGGTAGGTGAAAGTGCTCTCATACTGTAAATAAATGAAGTTAATGAAGCTGAACCCACTGATTCCAGCAGAGAGATTGTTCCATGGGATTTCCCCTTTAAATGTGTAGTAGACTTTATCTGCTAGTGTCCAAGGTCAAGGGTACAAATTCTCTTTACAAGAAAGATAATAGAATATCATATTTATTTTTCAATTTAAAAACTCAGTATCCATTAAAAAAATGTATTTCATGAAATACAGCCAAAAACATTAATCAAAACAAACAAAATGTGGGAATATTTTCCTTCTCAATAACTAAAGCAAATATACCTGGAATTTTCCAGGTTTCTGAAAAGATTTTCTCACCAGTAGTCCATTTCTCCATTCAAATACAGTTATAGAAGGGTTACAATATTTTTTTTTGTTTTTTTAAATCAAGAACAAACACTTCCACTACAGACAAAAAACATCATCAGACTATGATTTAAAAATGAGTATTAAACAATGAATTCCATTCTGTAAATGAAGATCAAAGAGCAGCTGATGGCAGCACAGGTGAGGCTGAGAAAGATGCTGCACTTCAGCAACCCAACTCATGGGCCAAGGCAAGTAGTCCCAAACCTTCTGAAACACAGGCAGGAGCTGGATGCTACCCAGGCATCAGTTATTTCTGTGTGCCCAAGATGTGACTCCTTTTCACAAAACCCTCCAACAGCTGACCCTTCTTTTCAATTACCTTTACATCAAACTCCTTCTGTTTCACACAGAGAGGATCAAGTTTTGTGAAGTACATGTTTTTTCAAAAATGCCTTCAGAAAATCCTCAATCTAAAACTCTTTACTAGACATGGCAGATCATAACCTCCTAGTTCATGACATTAACATGCAGAGCATTCATCAGTAAGAATCATAGGAGGAAAACCAGTGCTCAGCATAGCTGAACTCCCTGTGACTTGTTAAATAAATAGCTGACCAAAAAGCATGACCTAGTGTGTTATGTGCCAGACTCAAAGTCAGGCACCCAAGTTTTTATCCATCTCTGGTATCTTTTTTCCCCCCGGCAATGCTGGGTAAAATGACCCTTCAGAAGACTTTCCTTACCTAGAAACTGTTAAATTAAGGTTGTAATATTTGTATGGCATTTGGAAGAGATTATTTTTTCCCTAAGAAATAAGAAAAAAAATTCATTCTTTACAATTTTCTCAAAATAATTTGTTCCCATGTGTAGGGAATATTACAAAGATCATCAATATTTTTTCCCCTCTTGCCTGTTCTCCTTAATTTTGACAGTAAAGAGCAGATATTTCCTTGTAAGACAAACTATTCAAAAATAATGAGACATCCAATAAAATTAAAAAGGAGAAAATCCCATGTACATACTTGACATCATCGAAGACACTCATCTGCAGCTTCAGGAGATCTGCCACTTCCTTTATTAACTCCAAGCCCTTTTCCACACTCAGGGGGCTGTTGAAAGGGAGCAAGAAAACAGAGCATTAAAAAAATGGAACTCATCAATACTTGAGAGGCTAAAGGTCCCAAAAGAGTTATCACCTTGGCCTCTTTGAGTCTGAAAGCCACCACTAACTGTATTCCTGTCACATAGTGATCGTGATATCAAGGGAATTGGGATCAGGTGCTTCTTCAGGCATGATGAATCACCTGAATTTTCCAGCAATAAGACAAACAATAAGGTGCAAATGGAATTGTTAGGAAGTGTAATGGGCCCATGATGCAGCAACCAGTTCATCTCAGTCCTCAATAAAAAATGTAATAAAGTAAAAGGACAGAAAGAAAGAAAAGGATTGACGAGACAAGGAGGGAAACAAACAATGAAAGTCAAATTGCAAACTCGGTATCAAATGGACAAGTGAAAAGCATATTTTTAAATTCATTAGATTTTAAAATGAATCTTTGCCCAGGGAAAAGATGCAAAAATTATTATGGGTTTGAAAGTAAACAATGGAGCAAGACACACAGTCCAGAGGACATTGATTAGATACATAGGATTTAGCTTGGTGTGTGCATACACTGCTGACAGAGACCCCTTTAAATCTTTTTAACCTTTGTCAATGCCACATTTACATTTTTTAATTTAGAAAACAGGTTGCAATCAAGCCTAACACAATATGACTGCTATCATTTTAAGAAGCACTTATCCAGATGCAAAATTTATATTTGCAAAAATTTCAGGCTATAAAAGCTGATACAACTCTAAAGATGTATTAAGAACATTCCATCCCTAATATACAGATCCTACCTTGCTTAGTTGTTCAGTATTGTGGAACCAAATAAAAAAGCATTAAGAAAGAAAAAAGATGCAGAAATGATGTAGCAGTGTCCAGTGAAAACAACAGAGACAACATTCTCTGCCTAAATTGTGATCGCAGATTTATTCTCAACATTGTTAAAGCCTCAAAGACCATAAAATTATACCTTACAAGCATATCTAACTTATTTCATGGAAAGCAGAAACAACCTTACTGAGATTAACCCACAGGAAAAAAGGTTCTGTATTTGTTCCTTCAAGGATCTATAATAAGTAGGAGAAGAAGGTGTCAAAAAAAGTGTGTAGTATTAGACACAATCTTTTTAACTAGACTAAGGAAAAAAGATTTTTTCAAAGCTTTTTTCAAAGGTCACTATTTCTACCTCAGAGCTGAAGCTTTTTTGATCTAATTTTATATCACAGTAATTCATTGCCACTATTTCATTTATTGACTGCAGTGACCACTGGGGGTTTGGGTTTTGTTTTTGGTTGGTTTTCTTTTTTGGTTGTGTGTTTTGTTTTTTGGGGTTTTTTTGGTTTTTTTTCACTGCATTTTTTTGTGGTTTTTTTTTTGGTTTCTGCATGTACTGCCCTAAGGGCACTTCTATTTAAATTATGGGATATCTCATGTGGATCTTGGTTAGGATGGAATTGCTCAGCCTCCCTTCATGCTACTAGCCCAAAATGCTCAAGAGACCTCCTGTCACACAACCAGAGGTAGCCCCTCAAGGCACCAGATAAATATAGAGATTTTCTGGATTTCTAAGACAGAAATGTTCCTGTGTGAAAGCAACAAAAGAATCTGACTGATTGTGTAAGGTAAAAAAAATGTACTATAGATTATTCAAAAAACTGTTATATTTCAAGGACTGACAGTGGATAGAAACGTGATTATTCTCATCACTATGAAAGCAGACTGTCATAGTTACTCTAGGGTTTATGTGTTAATTAAATCTTTTCTCCCAAAGAGGTTGGCTTAAATTACAGAAATGATTGGTGTCAGCAAGTGGGCTTTTACTGTAACAGCAAGTCTGATGCAGGCAAAGGCTGCTGTGCCCATTGGTGCTGCTTTTTAACCAAGGGAGCCTCACTTGCAAAGCTCAGCCTCCTACTCCCAGCTTACCCCTCCCTACTGCCCTGAAAAAGCATTTCCCAGATTCAAAAGGAAGATATGGTGCAACAAGCCAATGCAGTAGCAGTAAATGGGGGGTGTAATCAGAGCATTTGAATGCTACAAACCAGCAATAATGCTGGAGGGGAAATGGGTGAGAAAATCGTGCAGGAAGGCCATTGTTTTGCAAGCCTGAGCATCCAACAGCAGTCTCAGTAACTCTCATGCAATATCAAACTCAAACACAAAGGTTCACAAACTCAGATGCAGTTTGATAGGCTAAGAAATTATCATTCATAATAGCTCAGGAAAGCTGCAGGATGAGCATTCTATGGTAGCAATATTATTACTGATCCCACAGTCATATCTGAGAGCCCCCATTAAGAATGATTACCATCATGATATTTTGAAATGCCATTTTTCCAACTTCCCAACACTGATACAATCTGGTACTGTTTATTACAGTTCTATGAAAGCTGTGTGTAGGACAGTAGACTCTTCAAAACCTTTCTCTAAAAATTCCAGGCCATGATTTTCCACCCTGAATTAAAGCTTTGCTTTTGTTTAGTGTTTCATTTTGCTCATTGTTGCATGGTTTGTATGGTGATTGCCTTTAACTTTGTTTACATGGAGAGAATCATACCATTTCCACCAGAATGGTGCTAACCAAACTGACCTACCTTGCAACAGCACCATTCACCCACATCACCCATCTGACTTCAGGCTTTCACAAGGACAATCTTTCAAATATCACCTGTTCTCCCGCCCATAGTCCTCCCACTCGTCCTCAGTGCAAGCACTCAATACTCATAGAACGGATGATATTTGTGATCTTTCACATACTTAGTTTTCAGCCTTCTCATTTCAGTTTCTGTATTAGGGAGTATTAGGGAGTCTTTTTCTTAGAAATATTTTTTGTCTATTGATTATGAGGGTTCAACAACTATGGAATTAATTCAACAGGAAGTGTTAGACAAACCAAGAAAGAAAGAAAAAAAATAAGTGTTGAGATAAGGAACAAATAGCGAGACACTGTAGACTGAAGTTGTAAGAGTAGAAAGAAGGCTCTTCAGACAACTGAAATATTTTATCAAGGCCAAAGACTTGGAGAAAAATTGTGGGAAGGGTTCACACTGCTTTGTCTGATCTGTGAAGATGGTCACTGCAGTCCCCAGTGGGGGATCTGGGAACTCCTTTGGTGCTGGGCTTTGCTGGCACTCCAAGCAGTAGAGCACAGAGGGAGTCCCTGGGCTGTGGCCCCTCACATTCCAGGGCCAACTCAATGCATTTTCTTTCAGAGTCTGTGAAAAGGCATTTCAGTACACCATAACAGTGAATCCTTAAGAGAGAAATCACAATTTACATAGCCCTCAGCTCAAAGCATGAGCTGGTAAAAAAAAAAAAACAAATGCAGAAAAAGGACCTCTCATGGATGCTGTTTATATTTTCCAAGTTCTCCTGAGGCTGGCTAACTCTTTCTGTGTCCAGGAAAATGAACGGTTTCTGCAGTGCCTTTAACTCCCTGCTTGATGGCCACTGGAACAGGCTCCCAGGTCACAGCACTCTCAGCAGAGTTCAAGTGTTTGGACAATATTCTTGAGCACGTGCTGTGATTTTTGAGGTGTCCTGCGCAGAGCAGGAATTGGACTTCAGTGATCCTCATGGGTACCTTCCCGCTCAGGATATCCTACGATTCTATTATTTGATTTTACCACTACATTTTTGGATTGCCTTGAAGGTTTCTGATCACCTTTGGGCTAGATTTCGGCCTTAGGAAGAGTCAACTGCTGGATGGCAGATCACCTTTTTGCAGATGATATAGATGTTGCCAGCTGACATCTTGAGACAGTGCTTACTTTGGGTTTCCTGCCTTTGCTCTCATTCAATTTGCTGTAGATTTCTCTTTTTCACCTTCTTTCAAGGTATCTGTAATAACAGCAGCTAAAAGAAAATGTGATACATCTCACTATTTAAAGTAATTCTTTTGAGGTCCTTTTTAAGTTTCCATCTCCAGCGCTCTTGGAAGATGAAAAGAGAGTCAGAAAGTATATAAAATTCATGTATAATGTACTTTTTTCCATTGCTTTATCTTCTAATACCATCTCTATCTGTGAGCACTATCCTAATTGTTATTTTTTTAGTTGATAGATTCAGACCCTTCTGCATCAGTAGCAGAGCTCTCTCTCACTTACATACCAATCTCTATCTCATATTATTGGTAGAATAACTTTGACACACTAATGACAATGAATAAATAAGTGGGGAATGAAATATAAATATTTCCTTTGGGGTTTATAAAGATACATAGATTATAGATACAGTTTCAAAGTCTTTCAGAGTGTCATCTGCAAAATACTTCACTACTGCTTTTGTTTGATCTCACTTTTCAGGGCAAGGCTTTTGCACTGTTATACCTCCTGAAGAATATGGTTTATACCTCAGCTAAAAATAGACAATATTATACAGTAGTACTGCATTATCCCTTCAGATGAAATTACTCCCCAGCTCAGTTCAAGACTCTGATGTCATGATTTAACATCATGACATAGTCATGAAAACTTCTGTATCAAGTTTAATCATGTCAAAAATAAATCATCCAATTCAGATCTACTTGATTGACCTAAAATAATCCTAGGCCAATCAGCTCCCCTTAAGTTCATCAGGAGTTTTGTGTAGTGCACACAAAAAAAAAAAAAAAAAAAAAAAAAAAAAAAAAAACAAACCCCAAAAAAACCCTAAAAACAAACAAACAAGCAAACAAAAAAAAAAAAAACAAACACAAAAAACCCCAAACCAAACCAAACAAACAGCCAAATTAAAAAAGGCACAATCTAGCCTATGAAGCTATTTTATTCAGAGATGAATCTGAAACGAAAGCACAGGAATAAATATCTCTTAACTTTAATGTGAGCTGCTGAGCACTTCTGAAAATTAGTGCAATCCATTTAAATGCTCAGGAGTGGATTTGGAAGCCAAACTTTATGTAATTGCCAAAGTGTTTCCACAAAGTGTAATGGACATTGAATACCAGAAAATTAGATTGTCTGGTGAAAATAAGATTTTGTATCTTCCAGTGTCTAGGTCCCT